CGAGATATTTTTGCCTCATTCTTAAAATTTTTAAGACATCAGCAGGAGTTTTGGTAGAAATTGTGGTATAAAAATCTCCGAAAGAGTAAAATTCGCGAAACATTTATAAAAAAATCAGTGTTTTCCGATTTCCCTGACATTTCCTTGCGACAAGAAAATAGCTTGTAAAAGAAACTTCCCTGACATGCCGAATTGTTGCGGATTCCCTGACGTTTTCCTTGATTTCTTGGACACAAAAAAAAAATCCCTGGAATTTCTCGAATGTACTGGTCGCTAAACACCCTGCGCAACTGCTGATGTATTTAAGAGCATAACCATCAAATCCAGGGCCGGATTCACCTACTTGTCGCCCATGGGCCGCCTGTATTTTGCCGCCCCCTTCTCATTCGTTTCGAAACATCAATAAAAAACCATCAAGTGAACGTGCCGGAGGGGAAGGGATGCATAAGACGCGTTAATTTGTGTTGGACGCATTTTTTGCGAAAGCCCTATGTCAACACTACCAGCAAAATTTCACGGAACTTTGCACGAAAGTTAAGTTCCGTAAACCTATCTCTGTGTGGACAAGGCCCTCCATTTATAAGAAATGAACGAAAAAATTATGAAAGAATAAACATAAATGTGGTTTAATAATTTTAACTTCCGCCGCATCGCCGCGCTGACCGCACTGTGTTTTGTGCAATGCGTGAAGTATTTCTACAGTCTTGTAGGCGCTATGCGTTTCACGTCGACCGCTACCGCTGCTGACCGCGGTGTTTTTGACGCAATGCGTGAAGTATTCCTACAGTCTTGTAGGCGCTTTGCGTTTCACGTCGAGCGGTGCTGAGAACGCTCTGTGTTTGACGCAATGCGAAATTACTGTACTCTCAGGAAATGAGAGATTTTGTCGCCTTTTCTCGTTTGTATTTTTTTCTGAATCCGATTTGCTTTATACCTTCACTTAAAAAAATCGCAAAATTTGCCGCCATGGGCCGCGGCCCATGTGGCCACCCCCTTAATCCGGCCCTGATCAAACCACCATTTCATTGAAATTTTAATAAGTTTAAGTTCTAAAACTTCTTTCTTCACTGCCCCCTCCAATCATTTTTACTGAGCGAGCCAAAAATTTAGTTGATAGAATTTTCTCAAACATATTAAAGTTCCTCGCGACATCTTAAATACTAATTTGACAATTAGAAGAGAAAGAAAGTAATGAAAAGAATGATACACATATTGACAGAGCTTTTTGGATGTCAAATATGTTTCAGGGGAGATTAAATTACTGATTCAGCTCCCCCTTCAGTTAATTTTACATGATATAAAATTAACTTTGAGGGCAGCCGAATCAGAATTTACGTCTCACTGGATACAATTTTGATATAGGTACAGAAAAGTTTTGTCAGAATTTTTTTTTCTCGCTCAATGAAAACCTCAAGTTTTTGTAAATTTTGACTTTATAACTGAAGTGATATCTTAAAGCAGCGGCTGGTGCTTTCTTCTCCGCTTATAGGAGCAACTTTGAGCAGCGCTAGAGCCAAAATACCACTATTCGGGCACTTGAGTGACGCGTATTACATACCTAGGAAAATGAAGGCGCATTTTGTTGGTGACATTTTGCGCATCCTTCCTTACAACTATCTGCGCAAATTGGTCAATTAGCTCCTGTTCTAATAATCATTCTAACCAACATAAAAATTAGTGAGGGAACTAAAAGCCAAAACCTTAAATTATTTATACGGGGAAAAGCCTGAACTTATGAAAGAACGCCGTATGAGCCTTCAAACGTGGCCAAATTTTCTCTGAAAAATCACACATTTTCGGGAATATGAGTAAATTTTTTCCTTCGAATTTTTCAGAAAATGTCACTCTTCATTGGATCTAGAGTATCTGAAAATTTCTAGGTAAAATATTCACAATTTTCTTCAAAAATGCATATTTTCTGAAGGGAAATTCGACAACAATTTCATACGGCGTTCTTACTTATTAGTACGGCAGAATTGATCATCGTTTGATGGACACAATTTTGGGCGATTTTTCCGCCTCCTCTCAAGGATGTTCTCGGAAATTTTTACATAAAAATATCCAGTAATGCTTTTTCTTAAAAATAAATAAAAAAGCGTGGAAATTTTGAAACACCGCGACCGACATCCATGTTTTCACCATCACACCCTCAGAGCTCTACTATCAAAGTTGTGACAACGTGACAACCTGGTGAATCGAGTATGCTTCGATACTTCGGGGAAATCCGATGATCAGCAGTGTTGCCGAACCGTCGCATTCCGACGAATCGGCGCGACACCTGGGGTACCGGAAATTCTCTGCTGAGCTGACCGGAAGTGACCGCAGATCATAATGACCGGAATAGAAGTGACCATGACCTAGTGAGAACGAATTTGTCCAAGGGCGCCATTTCATTTCGCTACCTCCGCCAATTTTCGCCGCTTTTTTTACTCCCGGGAGACGGTGATTAGGCAGCTAGGTTCTGGCCGGGGCCAAGTCTGCCGTGCTAAGGAAAAACGCCGTATGAACACTCGAGAGTTGCCAAATTGCCCTTTATAAAACATGTATTTCTGACAACATCCATTCATATTTTTCCTTGAAATTTTCAGACATTTTTTATTAAATTGCGTACAGAATTGTCTGAAAATTTTGGAAAATGATATTCGCAATTTTCTCAGTAAATTCGAATTTTATTGGAGGAGATCTGGCAACGCCTGAAGGCTCATACGTCGTTCCTCCTTAGCACGGCAGAAGTGAAGACCCCTGTTAATTCCCGATGATGCGCGGTCATTGACCCTGCGCCATCACCTAAATACGTCACCCGGAAGGTCCGACTCCGTCCGACTAACGGAAGACCCCGTTACATAATAATGACTCGAACTCAAAATATAGCTTTTTTTCAAAGTTCCTTCATTTTTTGTCACCAATTTCTTCCTTCTTGTGCCATCCAGAAAAGTTAATGTTAGAAAGTGGTACTTACCGTCCATTTCACTCGAGCTGACTTCGTGTCTTGGTGTGGTGCGAACTTTTCGGACTGTGCCGCCGTGCTACGGAAGAACACCGTAGGAGCCCTCGGATGTTGCCAAATTGGACGCATTTTAATCAAAAGGAACTATGCCCATTACGACATGAGCCCTGCCATGCACGTATTCTCAGGGAGCTTAAAGTCCGTGTTAGAATGGATATAGTTTCTTTGGATTTAAATATGTCCAATTTCTTCCTAGGAGGTGCAGACTTTCTCGGAAACGTAGTGTTTCCCCTTAAAATATTTCAGTGAATTTCATTCATGCTTTCGTAAGTGCGAATAACTGAACATTTTCAGGAAACTTTCTTCTGATTAAGTATTTTATTGGAGGCAATTTTGCAAATCTTAAATGCTCTTACGTCGGCCATTATTATCATGTCAGACTAAAAATGACCTACCTAAATCACTTAAATTTGAGTGATTTAGGTAGGTCATAGCGGGCTGATAGTTGAAATTGGTAGACAAAGCTACAGACAAAGAAAAAAAAATGGATATGCAGGGATCCTATTGGTGAAAGTGGGTGGTTGCAATGAACAAGGAGATAGGTAATAGACAAGCTAACAGCAACCCACGAAAGATCCTATAGTTGGTCCATCATTTGCTCCCTTCAACCAATATGATCGCTATATGTATACTCCCTATGCCTTCTTTGTCTATCGTTTTGTCTATCACTTTTAACAATCAGCCCGCAATGGTGTTCTGCACTCCTGGTAAACTTTCTTTTACGGTGGAGTACTAGGTAAGGTTCGTATGAAAATCTAAAATGAGAGGATCCTCTCATTTTTTCCCAAAGAAGCTAAGCATCTCCACGCCAGAACTACTAGATAGGACCAGATTTATAGCTTTATGAACTGGCTCATAATTTCTTTGGATTTCAGAGTCCCTTAAATTACTTCTTAGCCCTGATCTATAACTGCTCCAAGCTTAGTTGACCTACTGGGCAATTATTACGTAAATCCACTTGGTGGTAAAATGTAAAGTTGAATGTCCGAGGATGTGACTTCTGTTTTCTACTTTCAAGAGAACTTGCGTTTGTTGAAAAAAATCAATCTACTGAAGTGCATTTTACTATGCTCAATATCTGTTCATTTAACTCATAGGCTTGACTATAGCTTTTCACATGAGGACTGTTTGTCTTTTAAAACCATTAAAGAAAATGTTAAGGAATACGAGTTAGGAGACCATTTTTTTTTCTTCTTAAGTAAATTTAACGTAGAAGAAACAGCGACAGCAAAATTTGGAAAAATTCTAAAAAAAACGTAGGTAACATATCTTTTATTTAGTTGAATTTACTGAAAGAAAACAGTGAAAAACTAGTAAAAGTGGTATTTTACGTAAATAAACAAAACAAAAAGGTTTCCTAACTCGGATGATTTAACAGTCCTCATGAAGAGTTATCTCTGGGAAATAACGAAATTTATGATGTACGAGTATACGTACAAAATACCTATGTATGTGGTAATTGCAAGAGAAAAGGCGCAGCTTTTCTTTCACTCATTTCACTCAACTGAAATTTTGCAGTATATTCATGCAAGTGACTTTGATCGTGTAATTGGCAAATTTTTTCTCTGATTCAAAATTGAGAAATTTTTTTTTCGTTCTGATTTCCATAAAAATTGAACACTTAAATTTTTTTGCAACAATTAATGTATTTTCTCATGAATAAAAATTTCTCAAACTCAATTCTTCCGAAAAGGTAATTACCTGAGATATCACGGAACAAATTATTTCTTCGTTAGGTTTTTTCCTTATTTTACTGAAATCCACAAGATTTTAGAGATAATTAGAGATTAGTGATTTTTACTTTGATTAAATTCTTGACTTTTTTCTAGGAAAAAGCAGTTATTTTTTCTAGCTTTGAGACATTTTTTATTAAATTTAAAACAAACTGTATTCAAATGTCTTTAAACTTTGAATTAGGATAACTGACTTAATATTTATAAGTAAATCTAAGATTAAAATTTGGAAAGGTTCGAAAATGAGAAGAATAGCGAAGTAAGGTACTCAACAATTTTTTCTTTATTTTTTACTATAAATATGGTATTCTAATTACATACAACTACTTATGCAATTAAAATTACAAAATTGAAGATAATCTGTAACTATGTGCACTTAAACTTAGCTATCAAATAGAAATGATGTCTGTACAAAAATTCATTGAAATCCATTATTTGCAGTGGTCAAAGCACTATAGAGATACATTTGTTTTCTTCCAGTCTGCCCTCAACAATCAATGATAAGGGAAGAAGGAAATGGCATCCTTCTAATATGGCTGAGTGTACATATGATTAGAATAATTAAGCAGACAGCATTTCAGTGGCGTACAATAATGGAAAACTAGATTCTTAGGCACAATTTTGGAAAGATAGGATGCTCAAAAAAGCGTTTTATAGCAAAAAAACAGACTTTCAAAATGATTGTTTAAAGTACCTAAAGTTAGAAAAAGCTTCGGTGCTGAGTGCACTCTCCACTTACCATTCAGAAAAAATGTAAATCTAATAATATTCTTCTAGAGTGAGAAATGAGAATAGTGCAGCTGCCTATTATGCATATATAAACATTGTGTTGCATTTACAGAACATGAGCAATGAGCTATAAGCTTTAACCACAAAATATTGGCATCTAGGAAAATCTGAAAGTTGATAGTCTTTGCGTTACGTGAACATACTTACATGAGAATCCAACTGAACACTGACTTTAAAAAAAAGAAAAAATTAGATTAAGTTAGATTTATCTTTTTAACTGAGCAATAAATACAGAAGCAAATTATATTCACTTCAAATTCAACTAAAGTACGTAAAAGAAACAAGGCTACTCACAATTCATAGCTTACTCGCCTCTCTTATGGACTACTTACAAGAACTTGCTAAGTAGTCAATTCAGTGCAATTGACAAATCATACAAAAATAAGGCCCCTCGCACTATCCATTCATCTCATTCGACATTTTGGGTCAGATTTTCGTACAATTTGAAAACTACACAAATCAGTCATCTCAACTACCTCTATTTCAAGCTAAGACTAGTTTCTTTTTAAAAACTATTTGAAAGGAAATTAAAACATGAACATTCTTTCGCTTTAATTCATCTGACAAAGAGGTCTGGTTTGCTGGTGAGTTGCACAGGAAAATAATATAAATCAGAATAATGGAACTACTCGGGAATAGAACTCCAACATATTTGTAAAACTTGACGTTCACTCCTTCTAGTCTAGCTTTTGAGATAAACTTTAAATTCTTTAGATGAAAGTAAAAGTACTTTACTAATGTTACCACAGTTTACGGTGGAAGAGCATGTTGAACGGCTTAAAACAGAATGCAGAGGAGGCTGATATGCAATAAAAATGATGGAGTTCTCTCCGCCAAGGTTCTTTCGAAGAATGCAAGATTAAAGATAAAAGACAGAGCTTCATACTCTGTTTTATGATAGAACCTGAGGTTAACAATATGAGAAATGCAACAATTTGCGATAATGAAAGAATTTCATGCCGTATACAATGACAGTAAGCTGGTATCTGGATATAGAAAGCGCTTCATAGAAGCCAGAGCACATCAGTTTGAAGTTAATTTAAAAAATGTACGTACAAATGAAAAGACGAGAGATAAAAATGGGCGGTTCGAGGGATGTGAATTATCAATTTTTAAAAGAATTCTTCCATAGAAAATTAAAACACAGCCATGGGGTTTCATACATTTCAATACGTCAAAATGGTACAAGAGTTGGTGTTGGTGAAAGCGATTAAACCTCAATAAATTTTGAGCTGATTTTTTAAATCAAACATAAAATCCGACCGCCAGCTAGCGACAGTCTACTTATAAAGTTTAGATCACAGAATTCAAAGGAGCAGCCACGCTCTTTTTTTTCTCTCAATTCTTTTTTTACACCTCAATTTTTTTCAAGGTATCTATTTATTCTTTTTACATCTGACGATGAATGAGCACCACGTTAATTTTCCTTCTCACCTCACGCAGTACAATTTATTTCGGACAAGACGAAACAATAAAAAATATAAACAGTACTCGGTCGAGAGATGATCGGAAAAAGAGTATGGTACATCGGTATGAAAGCTAACCGCACTCGACTTTCTCTTCCTTCACGAAGAATGCAAAACGAAGGATATCAAGTTTTAGGAATATAAAAATAAATAAAATAAATGGTAAAAAAATACACAAAGGAGAGGAATCTTACAATTACTTCGACGAAATTTATAAAATAATGAATCACAAGTAGTTTCGATTTCCGCGAAGATTGCAAACCCTCCGAGCGAACAAAACATATTACAAAAAGCTGCCTCCAAACGCGACGCAACGTAAAAAAAATTCAGAGATGATAAAAAAAGACGAGAGAAAAAAAGGAAAAAATAAAAATAGAGGATGCAGTCCATGCACTCATCCCGACGGACATCAGACAGCGCCGCCGACGTCGTTTTGGTACCTACTGGTGAGATATCGCGCAGCCTCGGTCATCTGCTTGAGGGAATGGTGGAGTCCTCGAAGGTGCCTTCGGAAATCGTCCTCGACGAAGCGAATGTAATTGCATTTACTAGTTTCAGATTCGCCCTCGATACCGGAGTCATTCTCGAGCCCGACTTCGGAGTCGGTGTCGCTGATGGTCGAACCTGAGGAGTTGGTCGACGACACTGAGGCGGTCGACGGCCTGCGGACGTGGGTTTTCTGTGACTGCGAAACCTGCGTGACTGGGGAGGGTTGAGATTCGGGGACGGGGCTGTCCTTGCTGCCCCACAGGAGTTGGTTCTTGACCGAGTTGACCATGGTGTACATGCTGTAGAGGTCCGAGCTGGCCATGGCGCGCTTGCCTTCCATCTTCAGGTCCGTCGTGTCGGCCATGTCGCCGACTTTCAGGTCCATGAGCCGACATGGAACTAGGATCGTCTCTTCCATGTCCTGCACGGCCGTCACGAAGTTCTCCATAGTCTTCATGATGCTGTGTTTTGAAAACTCTGTGTCCTTGTGACTGGCCAGTCGTTGTAAGCAATTCCTGCAACAGAAAACAAAGCCCACCGTCAATCGACACGTTCCGAGCGAGAGATTCATAGATAGTGGCATGCGGTGAAGGTGAGCGCACCGAATGTGCGAAAATCCAACAACAACCGCGACGAGCGGTATTTGCGAAAGCACCCAAGCGCCGAAAACTCGAGAGCCATCGGAGACTCGATGTTTAAGGCACAAAGAACTAGATGAGTTTTTGACGCTTGAATCTTTTCGTATATGATCACGATCAACCTCGTCTTTCCGATAACGCCGGCTGAAATGATTTCTGACTGATTTTGATAGTGATTGCTCGGGCGCCTCGTGTTTCCTAGCTAAGGAAGAACGGCGTAAGTGCAATCAGATGTTGTCAGATTTCCCCCGATCAGCTTAAATACATCAGACGTTGCCAAATTTCCTCTGTTTTATATTTGAAACAGAGAACTAAGCAACACCGAAACTGGCAATTTTTTAAGTAACTTTCTCATAATCTAGACTAAATTTACAGAAAGTTTAAAGACGTTGCCAAGTACAAAGAAAAAAGTACGGTTTAATGGTTCAGTGATATGAGCATGCTATTCGCCAACAATCGCATTCGCCAAAAGTGTGGTGAATGATTTTACCCTTCTGTATCACTATGTCAAAAATCGAATAAACTTATGGTAGAGTGTATCATATTTCTGGTTAAATTTGCCAGGTTCTTTTTCAGTGAAAATTAGTTCTCTGTTAAAAAATGAAACGCGCAAGAGAAAATGAGGCAAGGCGTGAAATGCTGTTAAGCCAATCTGAAAATAAAGGGTGACCTAGGGGCCTGTCTTCTAGACGATTCGTCGTTTCTTTCACGAAGGAATGTAAATACATTTCAATACTGCCAAATTTTCCCTTGCAAATCAACCAGGAGAATCTTGGGCAATCGTGACTGAAATTTTCAATCAATTTTCCTTAGATTCCATGCAAAAATCAGAAAAAATTGCACAAGTACAGTTTCGTTAAGATAGATTAATTATTTGAGTCCGTTTGGCAACCTTGGAATGGAGTTACGTTCCTTCGTCCGGGAGAAAACAAATAGTACCACATTTTGCGATGCAGAACTACAATTCTTGCCTCGGTTAAGGAACAACGTATATACCATTAGTTTCTCTGTGTAAATACATTTTTCATTACAGATGAGTCGGAAATAATTGTAGTTCCTAATTGCAAAATGAGGTCCAATTATAAAAACTATGAAATTTATGTTGTTAGTGGAGGGGGCACCGGGGTCATTCTGCTCCCCTGTGCCTCCTGCGTCGGAAATTTCTAGTTCCGCCTAAGTTTAGAGCACTCAAGGCGAACCCTGGGCGCGCGGACGGATTAAGTCGTAAAGATGTACTTGAGTAGTGTCAATATGAGCTAATCGAATATGACGTAAAAATGCAGGCCGCGCGACGACGTGCTAAGGAAGAACGCTGTATGAGCCTCAGACGTTGCTAAATGTACGTCGATAAAACGCGAATTTTCTGGGTGCTGGTACACACAAGGCGGCAACCTAAAGTTCGATTTCTGACTTTTCCCTAACTTCTTTTGACGAAATTTCCCGACTTTTGTATACGATAACGTAAGGTCACTTAATTGATGTGGTCAAAAAGTGGGCACAAAAACGCGATCAGCTGGCCCGTCGCGGACCCGCTTTTTACGTGGAGCCCGACTCCACAAAAAGTTCGCTGACCGTCGGAAGAAATTCCCTGACTTTCCCCGGTAGAGTTAGATGCCCTAACTTTTCACAGCAGGGTGTCTACTAAAACAGGCGGGCCAAAAATCAGTACTTTTGCAGTACTTTTTCGGTACATTCCCAAAAAAGTCAGTACTTCCTTGATAGAAGAATGCAGTACTTTTTCAGTACCTCCATTTGACGAAATTCGGAAAGTTTCAAAAATTTGAATTTCTCGCTCGAATTGCGACCAAAATGACCAAAATTTGAAAACAATTCCGGACTATTTGCAGAATTTCCGCACTTTATCAGTACTTCCGGACCCCCCTTGAAAAATCGGTACTATTTCCGGACATTCCGAACTTGTAGACACCCTGCGCCTGCATAGTGTTCCCGGTTGCTAGCCACCCTGACGCATTTCCCTTTCAATTTTTCAGAGAATTTTATTTCACTGAAAAAAAAAAAAAAACTCTGGCCGTGGAAGCCGTACTTACGGGCTACACAGACATACCGTCCACAATTCCGGGCTCAGAGGCCGAAAGTTCCAGGCATCGCACTCGGAGCAATCGAAGTTCCGGTTCTAGCACCCGGAACTTTCGGCCTCTGAGCTCGGAGCGGACGGTAGGAATATCTATACAGCCCGCAAACTTTTTTCCAGTGTCGCAATTCGATCTACAGAATCTGAAAATTTAAAGGAGAAACACTCATAACTCTCCTCGAAAATGAATATTTCATGGAGGCAACATTGACAAGTTGATAGAGCGTTCTTCCTTAGGCCGGCGGGTGAGGTCGGATTATCCTAACTGGTGGCGATTTGCATCGTCACCGAGCTGGGTGCGTGAAAATATTACGAGCGTCGCCGGTGAGCCTTGGCAATGATCAATTCAAATGCGCGCCGGAGTTCAAGCCGAGACGTGGATGACATTCTTCTGCTCGTCAAGATCGGGCGATTCGCCGTTGCAAACGATCCCATTACCGGCGCTTGCTCACCTTCGGCGTTATGCGTTATTTCTCCTCCGAGGTGCTGCCGGCCTTTGAGCCGAGCATCTCAATGGTAGGACGTCCTCACATCAAAATGTACCTTTGCGAATCGATAATCGATCCATCGAACTTCTTCCGTCTTACTTTAGACGCGATTTTGATGACATTTTGCGATAGATCGTACTCGATATATCATTGGTTCAATAGGTATCGATTGGTTCGACATGTAAACATAGCCTCAAAAGTCCATTAAGAAATCTGAGGGAGCGGGTTTTTTATGATGGATTTTTCATTCTTTTGAGTATCAAATGAACTGCATTTTGCAATTTGGAACTATAAATTCTGGCTCATCTGGAAAAACATTTATGTGCATAGGGAAACTAATGGCACATACGTTGTTTTTAAACCGGGGCGGAACTTATAGTTCCTAATTGCAAAATGTAGTCCAAATGGCAATGCAAGGTGTTCGGAATTAGCTCATTTCAGCTTTCCCACCTTAAATCCTAAAATTTTTATTTGAGGTTATGTTCTATTGTTTTGAATCGAACGATACATCGAACCACCGTCTAATACGATCCATTAGGAACGATACTTTCTGGCTCGTCCGAAAAAACACTTGGGGAAACTCGGTCAATGGCGATTCATGCAGGTTAGCAAAATGGATTTCGTCCATTTCAAAGTGGGTAAAGCAATCCTTAGTTTACCACGACAAGTTGCCTTACCCCGATCAGATTTTGATGACGGTACAACAACACTTTCAACTTCAAAACATCACCGCTAATGCAGTTCAAAAGAGACCAATGCAAGAAAATATGGGTTAGTAAAATACCAAGAAACTTTACACACCCCTTATCCATAGTATCTTAGCCGTTCTGGCTCAGCGTGAAGTGGACAGAACCAGAGAGAGCAACTAAAGATGAGAAGCCAAACTACTACCTTCCTCGAAAACAAAATTGCGGGTAGAAAAAATTAAACACATACCCGAAAAAAGATGTGGGGTGGGGGTGGGTGGGAAAAACTGTAGGCCTATCGATGGAAACTTAATCACTGCACTGATAGCGGTTCGTTTCAGAACAATCACGAAAAAAAGGTCCAAGAGAGCGTTTGAAACACGCAATGTCCAGCAAAATCACTGCCTTTGTCAAAAACGAAGTCGCGTAGAGAACGGATGAAACACATACCCAAGAAGGGGGGGAGGGGAGGATCAACACTGTAGATTACAATATATTAAAGTTGAAAACTCAAAATTTCATCACTACGCAGGTAGCTCGTTTTGCAACAATCACAAAAAAGAGTAAATAGGTAAGTTCAAAAAAGTTTTTGTGCGAAAAAAAGTGCAAAAGGCACTGAGGGAGGAGTGAACCGAAACTGGAGATCTAAGTGTGTGCGTAGATGTTATCACTACATGTGGCGTTCGTTTTGAGATGATCACAGGGAGAAAAGTTCGGAAAAAAGTGGTAAAACGAGGGTGTTGAACACGCGATGAGTTCTAGGAACCGAGGATGAGCAACTAGAGAAATCAACGACGAGGATTTTGACGAGAAATGATGTGCGGCGATCGGAGAGTTGGACACTAAAACAAACGCCGGCCGCGCGTTGGGCTCACGGGCTGAATTTTTTTTGCACGACCCTGAAGAAGGAGCGAAGGCCTCATCCGATAACTAAGGCCAGCGCTAATTAAGATTCACGGCGGATGAAAAAATGATAAAATTAGGTCAACAGACAGAGGCAGGACAGCTGAGAGCTCCGGCCGAGCCACGCGGAAAAAGATGGCGATAATTAAAATCACCATGAATTCTGATTCCATGTCTCCGCTAATACTACGTTATAGCCTAACGCATACCTCCCCGCCCGACCGGTGTTTATGTATCAAAGCTTGCGACACATCCCACCGGTGAAAAATAATCGTCCGCTCCGCGTCGCTCGTAGAATTAGGTTTTGACAAAAAAGAAAATTCCTGACGTTCCCGAGGAAAATTCTTTACTGATTCGGGAAAGTTTTAATTTAAATTGGGGCGAGTTTAAAATTTGATTTCAACGGAGAAAAAAGCGAATTCCTGACTTTCCCGAGAAGAATTCCTCACTTATTCGGAAAATTTTTAAGTTAAATAGAGCTAAGTTTTAAATTTCATTTTAACGGAGGGGAAAGAGAATTTCTGACTAATAAGGGTAAAAATTCCCGACATCATTTCATTTTTAGTTAAAAAAAAAGGGAGAAATTTTCGACTCCATTTCTGATGGGGTGAACATCAAACGCAGTGCGATAACCTCACAAATTCAAAAAAATTCTCATATTTCTTGGATATTTCAAACAGTCACCATTAAAAAGCTGAAAATGATGAT